AACCCTGAAGTCTGAGAATTATTCAACAAAAATTCTATAAGTATTGACCATCCTCCAAGCCTCACTTTAGAACTCTGCTCCACTGCCTCACCTCCTCTCATCTCCCCACAGAGACAATACCTCCATGGAATATATAGGATCTGAGTCTCCACCTATAATTATTAATCTCTTTCCTAATCAGACGTAAAAACAAGTAATTAACATACCATCAGCCAACTGTGAAGGGAATATGATTCATTTATCCAGCACTTGGTGAACATATGTTTCTTTTTCAAGTTTTAAAACTTGGTTCCCAAGACTGTTTCCTAAACATCAACTTTGCTTTATTCACTATTTACAGTCGAAAAAAAAAGCTCATGCTGAAAAAAGAGACTTGCATTTATATAGCACCTTTCAAGAGGCCCCAAAGTGCTTCCATTGAAGACGTACTTTTCACATGAAGTCACTGTTGCAATATAGGAATCACGACTGCCAATGTGAGCTTGGCCAGCTCTCACAAAATAACACTGTGATAATAACCAGATAAACTTCTTGATAGAAGTCTATAAAGTTATGAGATGCATAGATAGGGTTGATGGTCAGAACCTTTTTCCCAGAGTTGAAATGTCTGATTCTAGGGGGCATGCATTAAAGGTGAGAGGTGGAACGTTCAAAGGAGATGTGAGGGGCAGGTTTTTTTACACAGAGTGTGGTAGGAGTCTGGAATGTACTGCCAGGGGTGGTGGTGGAAGCAAATACGCTGGAGGCAGTTCAAGGGACTTTTAGATAAATGCATGAATACGAAAGGATTGGAGAGAAATGGACCAAGAGCAGGCAGAAGGGATTAGTTTAATTTGGCGTCATGTTCGGCACAACATCATAGGCCGAAGGATCAATTCCTGTGATATACGGTTCTATGTTCTATTTTCTATGGTCTATAAACAGCTTTTTGGTGGTATTTGTTAATGAGGTAACTATCAGCCTGTACACCAGTGTTAACTCCCCTGTTCTTCTTTGAACTGAAGAACTTTGGTAATGTACACAATTAGAAAAGTTGTGACTGCTTCCTCATAGAACAGAAGGTCGAGAGAGGATTGATGAAGAGGGTCTGAATAGCGTAGTTTTGGGAAACTGTTCCTTTTGTTGAACGAACCAAGGACCCGAGGGCACAGATTTACGGTAATTGGCAAAAGAAGCAAACGTGTCATACAGGAAAATCCTTTTCACACTGTGTTTAGTTTCTGAAATGCACCAGTGATGAGGAAGATTCCTTTTAAAAAAAACTTTGTTTTTAATTAGGCTTTCTAGAGGAAATCATTATCTACAAAAGAAAATGTGCAGGGTTATAGAGTGAGTGGCACTGGGTAAATTGCTCCTTCAGAAGGCCAGCAGAAATGGGGTGAAAGGCCTCCTATCTTCTAATAATTCTAAGAATAGGATTTTTTGCATCCTATGGCACTACTGTATTTCAAAGAGCTGACATGTTCTCCCTGCTGTCCTAGCCAATATTTATTCCTCAGTCAACATCACAATAAACAAATATTCAGGCCATTATCATATTTCTTTTTGCAGGAGTTTGCTGGCTGCAAATTAGCTGCCACATTTCCTCCATTGTAGTGGTGACACACATTTCATAAAATATGCCATTGGCTGTACAAATACTTTTTGAGATGCCTGGTGGTCATTAAAAGCACTGTTTAAACACAAATCCTTTTTACAGGAGTACTGTGTTATACCCATCAGTAATATTGCAATCAAATGGCATACAAAACAGATAGACACAGAACTCTGCTGCTACACATAGGCTAACCAACACTCTACCCAACACCCCCACCCCCACAAAACCCCTCGCTCCCCCTTCACCAGCTCACCCTACATATACTGCATTTCCTCCATTTCTCACTATCTTTTGATTTTTTACTGCCAATCGATTTCTCGACGAGAAATTCATCTCAAATTCACTTCACTGATCTTAACCGCCTTTTAACATTTTCTAATTGCCAACTTGTTCTGAAAATCCAAATCCATTATATTTCTCCATAGCTTAGCCAATAGCTACCTCCTCAAAGAATTCCTGAAGATTAGTGAACCATGACCTATTGCTTTTAAATTCACCATGATTGCTCCCTCTCGTCTTCTGCTCTTTAGTCGAACAGTGAAAGCAATCCATTTAGTGTCTTTAAACATTTACACTTAATATGTCAGACTAGCTGGCCAGTAACTTTTAGATTTATTACTCTTCAATGATAACTTGGCTCATTGTTAGGTCAGTGGTCTCCAGAGACAGAAGTTTGCTGTTTCAAGCCTTACCCAGATGTCAGTACATAATCTAGTTTCATACTTCACTGCAGTACTGCGGGAGGTCTGAAGTCACCTGACTTCACCTGACGAAGGGGCAGCACTGCTAAAGCTTCTGATTTCAAATAAATCTGTCGGACTATAACCTGGTGTTGTGTGATTTCTGACCTTGTCCATGCCAGTCTAGCACCGGCACCTCCACATCGTGGGTCCTGAAGGAGAGCTGCATTGTCAGCGGTGCTGTCTTTTGGATGAATTAGTGAAACTGAGATTCTGTCTTCTCAGATGGCTGAACCATATTCCATGAGGAAGAGGAGGGGAGTTCCCATGGTATTGTGGCCATTATTTATTTCAAAGCAGGTTGACTGATTGAAGAAGTTTACCACATATAAATTGGCTACTGCAATTGAACAATATCAAGATGGAGTGCCAATGCTGGAGCAGTTTTTCAGACACAGGATCAAGTGAGGCCGTGAAGTAATTACAGGCAAGGGTGAAATTTTTTGAAAACAATGCATTGAGGTCTTGTTCAACGGGCACCATGAGCTCACAAGTAACTCAATGAGATTCTTCACAAGTGTATCTAGTCAGTGAGGGCTAGCAGCATAAATGCTGATGACATATCATTATTGACATTTAAACACAAGTACTTTTCAGCAAGATGCACTGCACATGGTTTCTGGCTAATTTTCCCTTCCTTGTGCCAAGTGTACAGAGGCCAGTATTAGAAAGTTTACCATTAACCACGATATGATTAACTCAGAACACTGTATGGGATAACACGGAGGTAGTTTCCTGGCTTATATATTTTAATGCTGCAAAAACTGCCAAGGGGCCGCTAAATGCGTGCATGTCACCAAATGTTAACCTATATGCATCTCTTAAAATAGAGTCAAAGAGTCATCTGTACCTTCTCCAGCTTAATAATATCCTTCCTATAACAGGCCAACCAGAACTGGACACTGTACTCCATGTATGTGTGTACATTTGCTTTTACATGTGTAATAAAGTTTAGTTATGATTTCAATGCCTACATTTTACTCAGATTTATTAAATTTAGCAAACCCTTTGTGACATCTCCCCCCAGTATTCTCAGGTTTGAAACAAATATTTAGCACCTCATCTGGCCTATCTCATTAATACACTGATTTTCTTTTATTTGTTCATGGTATGTGGTTGTCACTCATTCCATATTGGCCATTCCTAATTATCCCAGAGAGGGTAGTAGTGAGCTGCCTACTTGAACTGCTGCAGTCCATGTGATGTACAGACACCCACAATGCTGTTAGGGTGGGAGTTCCAAGATTGTGACCCCGTGACAGTGAAGGAACAGTGATATAGCTCCAAGTCAGGATGGTTTGTGACTTGGAAGAGAACACATAGGTGGTGTTCCTGCATCTACCGCTCTTATAGGTAGTAAAGGTCATGAGTTTGGAAGGTGTTGTTGGGGGAGCCTTGGTGAGTGTATCTTACATTTCACTACAGTTTCACTACACTTGCAGATGGTACACACTGCTGTCACTGTGCATCAATGGTGGAGGAAGTGCAAGTTGAAGCTGGTGAATTTAAATATGTAAATTCAGATCACTGTAACTGTTTGTAAATTGTTGAATTCATTCACTGCCCTCTCTATTATCTCCTGTCCGTCTTTCTGAGAGGTAGGTCATGGACTTCCTTTGGATTTTTCTACTCTTAAGGTTATCCTTTGCCTTCTGAAGGATGGCTGATGAGGAAACTCCCCCACTCCTACTGCCTACCATTAGGCATATTGGAGGAGTTTACAGGCTGACAATCAACCTGTTTGGCCACATTATCAATGCACTTTGGCCAACAACACCTGGCATGAGATTTGAACACTGGGCTTCTGGCCCAGACTTAAGGGTGCTACCACTGTGCCCTCTTGTCAAATTCATTCACAACACAATTATAATCAATGCTCCCTCTAATTCCTTTTTGTTGTGCATGATCTATCCACTTCATTCTCTGATGCCTGTAAGAAAGGACATTGGTGAACAGTTATCATGATAAATGGTGGGTCATTGACATCCATGCACCTTAGATGGAAAATACTTTTTATAACTACTTGTAAATTTCAGTTTGCAGGCCAATGATTTGTTTTCTGTTCCTTAAAGACATTCTGAAATCTGTAACAAAGTGTGTCATTTTGAAACATGACATTGTTTGTCCAGCATCACAATATTATGTATTTTTGGGTCATTACAGTTCAGGTGGAAGAAGCTGTGCTACTCTGGTTCCAGTATGAACTGTGTCATAAGGATTTGAAAAAGCAGATGGAGTGTAGCACCTTTAAAAGTTGGGGGGCAGAAATGTCTATGAGTGTGTGCATCTGAGTTAGGTTTTCTTGTATGTGCTGGTAAAACTGATTCATTCGCATATGCATAAGTGCAATCTGAGCCCACTAATGAATGTATTCCTTTATGCATGCAGACCTTTCAAAAATTATGCAGCAGTTCTAAAATGGACATTTACTTGACTGACTTTCATTCCTGAGAATGACACTTAGCCACAACAAAATGGACAGGCCAGTTCAAAGACAGGTAGCCACACACTGACAAGTACCATGGGGAAATTCTGAAGATTACCAGAATCTGGCCTGTCCATTCTTGTTTAATGACTGTCAGAGGGAGATCTTCAAATAGATGCTGCATTGGTTTATTGTCAGGGTGGATCTAAGAGACCGTTTGAGCTGCATTAGCAATTACCTGGACCAGTTTGATGATGGTCTGTGCAAAACCCAACAGGAACCAAGACACAGCAAAACAATACTGACGCAATTAGATCAGAGGAATATTGCCCAGTTTCTTTACACAAATCTATGTTCCTCTGGCATCTGTAGAACTCAATCTGTTGGCTATGCTTAGAGGTCAGATGAATTTCCTTTTAGGGTTCCATTTCTCCAGCTCATTAAGTCCATCAGGTAGTAGTTACATAACAAATTAAATAAAAATTGCCAAGTCTGTCAAATATCTATTCATTTCCCTGGGCTGATATAATCAAGGCTAGTAGCTGGGGTCTCCCTGGAAATAGATGGATTTGTAAAGTAAGCTGCATCCTCCCAAGAAAAAGAACTAAAATAGTAGAAAATTGCATCTGGTGAAAATGGAGGGATGTTTTCTCATTCAGCCATGGCCAAGTTTTGTTCATATTCAATAACATTAGCAGAAATGAAAAGTGTTGTTCCTACATCCAGAAACTTGGAGGTAATCGTTTGTGCTCATGTTGCTGAAGTAGGCATGAGGCCTTCACCCTCTGTTGTGAGAACCATATTGCTTGGCCACTCAGAAACCTAGAGGGCACAATATGAATATCTCTTTCATCCCCAAACAAATGTTTAGCATTTAAGCATTCATTTCATTTGCTCTCTCTTTGCCATGTAAGTTGTTTTAAACATGGTTTCTTGCCCTTCCATGTATCATTCCATCTTTTGCCACCTGCAATTTGATCTGGCCAGTGTAATTTTCGGTATTCCTATCGGTAAGGAGGTTGCTTCTGCACTGGGTGTGCTCGCTGAAGCTTAAATGGCCTTGGAGTCCAGATGGGTAGCTGTCCCAGCATGCGCAGGCCCGAGCGAAAGCCCTGGGGTGTGAATGGAGTGTTGGGACGTGAAACCACAGGCTGACGCTCCCGCGAGCTGAGAGGAGGCAGGTTCTTGCTCTGAGGGAGAGGTGAAGGCATGGAGAATGGGCTTGCAGCTCGGGACGTTACCTCAATGGCAGGCACAAAACCAGAGCGTTGGTGCAGCCCATGGGCCATGGGTCCATTTTGCAAACGAGGAGGGACATTACGTGAAGCCACTCGATGCTCCAGCCGTTGATGCACCACCTGTTGCTGATTCTTCTTCCTGTCGTTTTTTATCAGGTCCTGGAGCTTCTCCACTTGCGTCTTTCTCATGTGGCAAACTTTTCTGGTCCTGTGGAACCTCTCCAGAAAACTTTCCAATGACACCTTACCAGCCAAAAATGTGTCAGTGATTTCCTGTAAAGAAAAATAACTGTATTATATACTTTGATTCTAAAGCAGAGAATATGATCTCTAAAGCAGAGACAGGATGTGGAAATACGCTGCCGGAGGAAGTGAATCAGAGCAGATTTGGTGACCTTCAGTTCTGAGCCTATTGAAACATCTAGGAGGCAAAGAGTGAGAGAGGTCAACACATAATATGGTAGTTTCTTTGACACAATGGGTGGAACTGAATATTACACAACAAGTGTCTCAGCAAATCTAACCTGAAGGCATGAAATTAAAAGTTTAGTGATATCGATAAACTCATTATGTGGACCAAATCCACATTAAAATGTGGCAGTTGAGTTGAGTTACGGTGGAAGTACTCATTCTGCTATTACTGTGGTTTATGATGTTGTGTTTACAGCAGTGAAGTTCCTTCCTGTATAATGTCACTTTCATGTAGCCAAGATGTAATGAACTAGAGAGCAATGTAAATGCAACTGTGGAAAAGAGATAAGCTGGGAGCTTCAGTTGCTTCTTCCCACAAATCCAAACTATTTTTTAACAGAACTAAGGAAATAGGATATATTGAGGATATAGGATACAATAATCTTTCAGTTCTGTCATCGTAAAACTTTTATTGTATGGTCTGTGGTGCTTTTATGTGTACATGAGTGGCAGGAGTGAAGACAATCAATGATTTCAAACTGAAATTGTATGGGCATTTGAGAAAAATACTTGTAGGGCAATAAGATAGAGCAGGGAAATGGGATGAACTGGTTTGCTTCATGGAGAGCTGGCATAGATTTGTTAGGCCAAATGACCTCCTTCTGTGCAGTTATGCACTATATTCTTTTCTATAAATCCTATTTCCAGTTTACCGTTTGTTTCTTTTAATTCTCCTCAGTTACATTTATACTTACAACATAGCTATATCCTGGTTATAACAAGGTGACATTACATGGAAACATTGAAGCATAGAAAATAGGTGTAGGAATAGGCCACTCAGCCCTTCAAGCCTGCACAGCCATTCAATATAATTGTGGCTGATCATGCAATCTCAGTATCCCATTCCTGCTTTCTCTCCATACCCCTTGATCCCTGCAGCCTTAAGGGCCATGTTCAGCTCCCTCTTGAATGTGTCTAATGAGCCGGCCCCAACAGCTTCCTGTGGGAGACAATTTCACAGGTTCATACCTCTCTGAGTGAAGAAATTCTTCTTCATCTCAGCCCTGAAATGGCTTACCCCTTATTCTTCGACTGTGACCTGGACCTGTGTTCTGGACTTCCCCAACATTGAGAACATTCTTCCCGCAACTGGTCTGCCCAGTCCCATCAGGATTTTATATGTTTCTATGAGATCGCCCCCTCATTCTTATAAATTCTAGCAAGTACAAGCCCAGTCGATCCATTCTTTCCTCACGTCAGTCCTGCCATCCCAGGAATCAGTCTGATGAACCTTTCCTGGACTCCCTCAATAGCAAGAATGCCCTTCCCCAGACTAGGAGACCAAAACTGCACACAATACTCAAGGTGTGGCCTCACTAAGGCCCTGTATAACTGCAGCAAGACATCCTTACTCCGATACTCAAATCCTCTCGCTGTGAAGGCCAGCGTGCCATTAGCTTTCCTCCTTGCCTGCTGCACCTGCATGCCAACTTTCAGCAACTATTCCACCATAACACCCAGGTCTCATTACACCTCAGCTTTTCCTAAACTACCACCATTCAGATAATAATCTGCCTTCCTGTTTTTGCAACCAAAGTGGATAACCTCACATTTATCCACATTATATTGCATTTGCCAATTATTTGCCTATTCAGCCAGTCTGTCCAAGTCACCCTGCAGCCTCTTAGCATCCTCCACCACCCAGCTTAGTGTCATCCGTAAATTTGGAGATAAAGTAGGGAGATATTACACAGGGAACAACTTCACCAACTTCATCATCATGAACAACTTGCAATCTTTCAGACCTACACATATATCGATGAGTGAAAGAAATGGTCACAGAAACTACTGATGAAGAAACCCCTAACTATGAAATATTTGGAAAACTGTTTTTGTTAGCAATTCCCAGATTATTTTTCCCAGCATGTCTTCTCTTCCTTGCCTGACTCATGTGCTTGTGTTGTTCCATGGAAGAGGTCGTCTTCTGGAATCTGAGTAATAACAGCAAGCATTCAAAGATTATTAAATAGGATTGGACAAAGTTGGGCAGTCATACCAGCTGGAACTTAGCTTGCTTCATTTTCCTCCTCAGATTTGCAACTGAAATGAGCTACATTAGCACAGACCAAAGACTGAGCCACAAATGGAAAACAAGACAGCCAACCTTACAGCTAGCAGCCAGTGGAGAAGCAAGCCCACAACCAGACACCAAATTCTATGTCAGCTAAATTCCAGCCATGTGATGCTAAAACCCGCAGTAATCTGACACCCAATTCGTCAATAATCAAATACAAATCCAAAACACAAAAACCTATCACACATAGTTTTTAACTAAAGTTATATGCCATCAAGTCGAGCAACAACTGGACCCTAACTCTTTCAGCAACATGATACCCAGTCCAAAGTGAAATGACTGGGTTTTGCCATAGAGTTCAAGTTTGGCATTTTGTCAATTTATAGCTACCAGGTGTAATGCTGGCGAGGGACCATATCCCTGCCTCGAGTCTATTTTCATGGTGGTGTCTTCTGCAGGCATGGCAGTGTTGGGGAGGGGCAGGAAGTGGGTGAGTGGAGGGGAATGGGGGAGTGGAGTGTAGCTTGATGACTAAGTGTCCATCGAGCAAATTAAAATGCCGTTTGGGGGGCACTGTTCACATGCCACCTGGTCAACTCCCCACTCCCCTCATGTGACTACATTCCATAATTGGAATGGTGACTGGCCCTGGCTGAAAGCCTGAAGAGGTGGGACTGGGGGCAAGGGTGCATTTTGAAAAGCTGCCCAGTATGGATTTTCTTGGCTGTGATAACTATAGATGTGGCTGCAGGCCTTACTGTAAGAGCATTTTTCCCCCAGCAACTATCCCCTGACCAGATGTGGACACTGTTTATTTACTTGATGGTGCAGTTGTTATGGGCATATCTCTGTGTTGAGGGACCCTCAAGGTCCTTGATTTGCTGCAGCAGTAAGCATTTCTCCCTGTGGGGTTTTCTAGAGCTACAAACGCATTGTTTGGCACTGCCCAATTTAACCGGATGGCATGCTCACAGGCTGCCTAGCAAAAGGAAGCTAAATTGGTCTCACTGCTGGTAAGTTTAGGTTACGGACACCATTTAATCCCACAGCTGGAGTCCTGAAGTCTACACAAGTGGACCAGCCCAAAGTGTGCCAGCTAAGGGCAGAATGAGCAGCAAAATATATCCAAAAGATCATGCAAATCTCTGCAATAAACGAAGGAAAATCTGCCAAGTGATTTTGTTTTCAATCAGGATACTCCAGTCATAGAATGTTGGTTTTACTTGCAGTTTAAATTTTGACAAGGCTGCATCTTTCACTTTATTATACACTATAAAACTAGATTCAGGGCTGTCTGTATGGTTTCATGATGTGGAGGTGCCGGTGTTGGACTGGGGCGGACAAGGTCAAAAATCACATGATGTCAGGTTATAGTCCAACAGGTTTATTTGAAGACACAAGCTTTCGGAGTCTTACTGTTTCTGACACCTGACTGACACCTGAAGAAGAAGCGAGACTCTGAAAGCTTGTGTTTTCAAATAAACCTGTTGGATTATAGCCTGGTGTTGTGTGATTTTTGACATTGTATAGTTTCAGGTTTATTCAGACTGTGTCAATGTCTTGAAGCTGTTGTTCAGCTTTTGTTAATTACCCAAATTGCCCTGTATTGTCATGATCTGGGTTAGATTTCCCTCCCACCAATTTAAACAATGAGTGGCAGTGAAAAATTACTTCTCTTTATAGCAAAGAAAATATGTTTAGAGATGCAACTCAAATCAGAAATTTCGTTTTAAACCAATTTCAAAACCACAACACAGCTAGCTCATTATTCAGTATGATGGGGTAGGGCATGATGGTGGTATCACTTCCTGGATGAAATATTGTGCTAGTAACAAATTAGAAAGGAGTTTTGGACAGCACCTTCCTGTATGTCTATGTTCTGCAGCCAGGGAACCTTTGAGATATCTGGTGCACCGTACCACTCGGGTGAGCACTATGTGGACCACAGCTTCCTGAGGTTGCAAAATATGGTATAACACCTGCCTATGTGTCTTCTTCAAGGTATTGGAAGTGTCAGTTTGTGTAGTGAGACTGAAATAAGATTGTTTCTTTGTAAACACTTGTTTCAGGCTTCAAGGCTTTGAAGATTGTACTTGAAAAGTGCATATGATGAGCACTTACTCCATTCCTCTATCCATTGGGGCCTCAAGTTTCATCTTTGGTATATCTCCTTATTAACCTTAATTAGTCAAGGAAATTTTTGAAACTCCTTTGGGCACATATTAAATTTCAGTCATTTGATAAGAATGTAATGATTTGCTTACTGAATCTCCATTATGTACTAACAATTAGACAGCAGATCAAGCTATCAATAAGGCTTGTGTTTTTTTAGGATCAGAGGGTTAGACAAAGACCTTGAACAGAGTGGGGACAAGATTGACTCTAGCCATAGCACCGCTAGGCCTTAAAATAATGCAACCACTGTCACTGTCTGACTCACTGACTGATGCAAACAACAATAAATTACATTTATATAGGCCTTTAATGTACAACACTCATAAGGCTGATTTAAGGGAGAAATGGACATCAAACCAAAGGGAAAAAGGGACTAAGACTCCTTGATGCCTCTATCTAGTCACTTCTTGGTATTTTTATATCTAAGAAATACAATTCCATTTTCTTTCGAAGTCAATTATTTTCTGTTTTCCTGTTGTGATAGGACAGTCAATTCAATTTACTCCAAACAATCTCACAAAGTGGCTTAAGGTACTGGAGAAAAAAAACAAAAGAACTGTGGATGCTGTAAATTAGGAACAAAAACAGAAGTTGCTGGAAAAGCTCAGCAGAT